ATCTCGTGAGAATAACATATTTAGAAATCATGAACATTTGTAGACTGCGTGCTGAATTAAAAAAAAAAATTATATATTCAAAAAAAAAAAAAAAAAAAAAATGTGGGGACGTTGAAAAATGATATTCCCAGGAGAACTGAGGGTGTTATTTAGAAGAAAGTAGCTTTTATTTGGTTTTTTTTTCTTGTCCGATATTTCTAGGTTATTCACAGGAGGTGTTAGCTAAGTTCTAAAATGTACAAGCAATTGATGACACCTCGTGTAAATATAACGTACTTCGCGTTTGTTGATTTTGAGCAGAAATTATTTGGTTGCTTGATTTTACGACTTGTCAGTCTTTGTTGGGTTATTAGACGATATTTCTTTCTTGTAGAAACATAATAAACTATTAATTTTTGCAACAAAGCATCGCCTTTTCATTTAAATGAAAGGTCATCAGATGAGAATAACACATTTTCTAGAATGTGTGCTAAACTTTAAAAGATAACTAATGCATTCAAAAATCGTGTTGATGTTAAAAGCTGATAAATGCGATTAGGGCGTTTTTAAAGAAAGTAGAGATTTTATCTATATTTTTGCGTTATTTAAAATCTTTTGGAGAATTAAAAATTAATTAAAAAAATCTGTAGGCATCTTATTTTAGATATATGTATGAGATAGCTTAATATAAATAGAACAGTTTGGGAGGAAATATGTTTGACAAGGTGAAAACAAAAATTTCGTGTGACGCATCTCGTCCCTTAGGACTTCATCGGACTAGGTGTGTTTACGTTGATGAGACAACGCATGCGCACGAACGAGAGATGCTGGGAATTTAGAAAAAAATTATTTAAAATTATTTTTTTTATGTGTTTTGGGTATATAATCAAGCCAATTTTCTTTAGATTCTTTTTCTTTTTGTCTCCATTATCTTTCTTTTTCCACTTTGTCATACATCCCTCCTCAAAAAAGATATAGTGTATAGCGATATAGAGGAAGAGAAAAAAACATACTCACACTGAGAGATTTGATTGTTTGATTCGGTTTTTTTAAAGCTTATGAACCCTTTGAATGTTATTTAAAGCCAGAACATATTTTTAGATTGTAAGATTTTTTTTTTATTGTTGTGATAATAATGGTTTAGGGATACAAGTCTTATTAATTAACCCATTACTGGGCGAAGAAGAAGCAAATTCATACCTTTCCCAAAGGTATTTGCGCGTAAATGAATATAACGAACCCAACGGGAATTGGAACTTGGCTCTCCGATTAACAATTCAGAGCTATTATCCAGTACACCACCCGCACATCCAAGTTTATACCACCTACTATTCATCCATCGAGGTACTGACCAAGCTCAACTTTGCTTAACTTCGATGATCACACACACACACACACACACACACACACACACACACACACACACACACACACACACACACACACATAATTATTTATTCAAAAAATATAACATAAATGTGTTATAAAATCACTACAAAAATAAGCATTTTGCTTCAACACTTCTAGTGTCTTATCAAGTGATGACGTTGAAAGTAGAATTAAGTGTTTTAAAAGGTTCAAATCAATCAAACTTCCCTCGCTAGCGGAAACGCTGTTACATAAGCTGGAATGACCAATCAAAATACAAGTATATGAGAATTCAAAAAACTTGACAACGGACTTTGATTATAATAATTATTTAATGCTTTAATTTTAGGATTAGACTAAAATATAATTTATTCTAACTAATCAATATTAAATTATACTATAAAATTAAAAATTACCAATTTTAAATTAAATCTATATTAAGTTATATTAAAATTTGTAGATATAGACTGTGTGGAAAGAAATCAACGATGCATGAAAATTGTCATTTTCCTCTTCAGACAATTTGTCTCTTTCTTTCTTTCTTTCTTTTCTTTCTAAATATATATATATATATATATATATATATATATATATATATATATATATATATATATATATATATATATACACACATATATATATATATAATTGATTATCTTTCGATCGACTTCAAAGTTTCGCGTACACATTGTCGCTCAAGTTCTGTATCGAGCACTTCCTTGACAAAAGTGGATATTGAGGTCAACACCTAACGACGGCATTCTGTTTCATGCTTAAACACATTCTTCAAAATAAAAATAAAACAGATACTCTATGAAAAATCGTAAGGACCTTGAAATATGATATTCCATGGCCTGAGGATTGTGTTTAAACATACAATAGACCATCACCACTATGTGTTGACCTCAATATCCACTTTTATATTTACTTACGCTATATCCCTGATATTGAGCGCATATCCCAGAAATATGCCAGACCTTAAAACTGTATTTTTATCATATATATATATATATATATATATATATATATATATATATATATATATATATATATAAAACAAGAAGTTCTGGTTCGTGCTCGTCGTATCTGATAAAGTAATTTAATATATTGCCCCTCTTATCATCAGTGATGCCAAAGCATTTTCCTTACACACAGTTTTGTCTTTCATTTTGACCCGAAAAATATGAGATCATCGGACGTCGGCGAAACGAGTCGTTTATAAACTTTTACAATTTGTCTCATGATTTCCACTTTTGTTTCGAATATTATTATATATCCTAGATACACACGCGAGAACGCACGCGCACACACACACACACACACACACACACACACACACACACACACACACACACACACACACACACACGCGCACACATACACACACACACACACACACACACAGATATACACACACGCGCGCGCACGGCCACATACACACAAATATATACTTCATATTCTTTTATCAACTGCTTATCTCTATTGTTGCACAGGCATCATTCAATTTTCTGACAAAAAGTTAAATAAAAAGAAACAAATAACTTTAAGATTTAAAGCATATTCAAAGCGATATACAACTGATGATGGTTGGAGAGCACATCAGCCGAAGCGTTATGATAACAACAACAAAGATGAGGACAATAGTGTAAATAATATTCAAAGTGATATAAAAAAACAACTCAATCACATTATTGCGAAACAATACCAAAGAAGCAAGTAGGAAAACTATGTTTTTTTATTTTATCACTGTTGAATTGTTAACATTGGAATTGGTAAGTCTGTTGTCTTCAAGAACTTCTGTGAAAGCTTTGTGTTGTGTTTTTCCCACAAAATTCTACTGCGTTAATAATAGAAAAAAAAAACAAAAAAAAAACAACAAAAAAAAACGACGAAAAGGTCAATCCATGGTTGATATGCTCCATTATCTTAGAAGTTTCAATAATTGCGTCTGTAGGGACCGTAGATAGTAATTGTGCTCGAATTATTCTGGTAGACAAGGTTATTAATGTCGACTCCGCGAGGAACAGAGACCGACTGCGATGATGTACTTGAAGAATGGTTGTCAAAATATTTCGTCTGGACAACAACGTTTCGACCATTGAGACTGACCTGAACGTTATGTTTCGACATTCCTGTGAGGTTTATTTCAGCTACCCAAAACAATCGACCGTTTTTGAAGATATTGCGAGTATGTATAGAAGAGGGTCGGTTTTGAAATGACATCGTATTCGGAAAACTCTGGAAAAAATGGGAAAACATTGGCTCAAAGATGCTCATTGGCATAGTTCCAGTAAACAGCAAAAGAATTAATAATATTTTTAGTGGCATCATTTTTGTTCCTTCGGTAGACAGAATTTTCTTCTTCAAAACGCAAGTATCTGGTAATGTTTGTTATCAACTAATGTTTAAACGTAATACTTTACCGAATCTTCAGTTCTTTGGAGAATTTTGTTTTACTTATATTATTTCGGGTTCCAAGTAAATATTCTTAATATTTTAAGCTTAGCATCGTCTGACACAGGAATAAATTTTGGATAAAAATTATTACAAAAGTAGTAATAAGTTGTATTGACAAGCGTTATACGATAACGAGTCGCATCATGGAGTAATTCTTTTGTGTTTTCAAGTTTTTAAAGAGAGTTCTGCATCACCGTAACACAAGTAATGTTCCCAAGTCACAGTCACAGGTAATATAATTTTTTTTCCAAGATATTTTTCTGAATAAAAGATTTCTTGTACGATTTCGAAACAACGACGTCAGTTTTGTTTTATTTTTTCTCTTTTTTTCCCTCCTTTTTTCTTTTTGTAGTGTAGTGATTGTTTAGCTTTCAAACTGTTCGCAACTCTTTCTCCTCGAACTTTACCGCTGCTCGCATTGAAATCCCAGAAATGAATGAACTTTTTTTAGCTCAATAAGCCAAACAGGTTTGCTTTCTTATGGACAAGATGCGATTAACTGATAGCGATGCTGTCCAGACAGGTGCGTTAGTCTCTGCATTCCTCAGCAAATGGTACAACCTACTTGAATCAGGTGACCTCTGCCGCTTGTCACACCAACCTTTCGTGGAATCTTTATTTTCATTGCCAACATTTGTTTACTTTCAAGGGACGGTATTATGCTTGTAAGATAAAGCCGTTGAGTTGATTCATCTAATAGCTCTCTTGTTATGATAAAGAGCTCGAACCCTGGCTACAGTGAGTGATTTTCACAATGACTGTCATGATGACGATATTTGATAAAACCTTTGATAGAGAAAGTAAAGAAAAATGATCTAGATTCAGCAGTAGACATTATTTTTCCTATTCATTTGTTATTAATTGAATCTCTTAAAAAAAGCAACGTGATATTAAGAGAAAATCGGCATCAAATTATACTATTATATTATTTAATAAAAGAAAAATTACCCCATTAATGTCTACTGTCCTATTTTTGATAATTGATACTAAATTTTTATGTCTATATGATTAATACCAGATTTTAATGAACCTAAAATTAAAAGTTTCTTTTTTAAACCTATTTTTCTTTTAGTTGTTATCATTAATAACGGGTTTGACGACACACACATAAAAAACGGCAACATGTAAACAATATGGAACAACTTTTATGGATGTTACCTTGTAGATTTTAACATCTCCAGAACAAAACTTGGGCTTACAGCTATATCATGTTGAAACAACAATTCCCATACGATTACCGAAGTTAAGCAACGTCGATCCTGGTCAGTACGTAGAAGGGTAACCGCTTGGGAATACCTGGTGCTGTAAGCTTGGATATGTGGGTAATATGATGGATAATGTCTTAGAATTGTTAATCGGAGAGATGAGTTCCAATTGGGAAAGTTATGAATCCACCTCTTCCCCCCCCAGCTATGTATTTAATTAGTAAGACTTGTATCACTAAATCATCATTATCTCCCCCACTCCCACAAAATTCTTATCATCAAAAAATATCTTCTAACTTTAAATAACTTGCAAAAGGTCTATAAGCCGTAAAAAACAAATCAATCAAATCCAAAACAAAACGGCTTCCATTTAATCGCAACAGAGAACATTTTCTGCCTGCCATCAGCATAGCTGATGCTAAACTCCAAGAGAGCAACACTTTCTGAGCTTTTTTTTTGGTGGGGGGTCGGGGGGTCACGTTTTCCACTGAGATGAAGTGGAGCGACTGCATCGAATCAATAGCTACATTTACTGCAAGGAATGTTGGGTCACTATGTCGTGCCAGAAAATTTTTATCGTCAGAATCCATTTTTCACATTTATAAATCTACCATTCGTCCATGCATTAAATACTGTTGCCATACTGTTGCTCCTGATGTATATCTCGACATTCTTGATAAAATAAGGATCTGTAATGTAATTGATCCTGTCCAGTCGTGATGTGGCTTCTCTCTGCCTTTTCTACAAATATTTTGACGGCAACACTTATGACAAGCTTTTTTTTCTCTGGTGCCTCGACTACACGAATTCAAACGTGCGACTAGATTGGCAATTAGGTCTCACCGTTTTACTGTTGAACTAGCTAAATACAACTGCCACAGTTTCTTTTTTTGCACTTCTCACCTGTGGAACTCCCTTCCGTTTACTTGCCTCCTTGATAACTACAATCTTCAAAAATTTAAATACAACGCCAGTCTCTATCTTTTGCCTTCTTGAACCCTGTTCTTTTATTGTTCTTTCCTTTAATATTCTTCAAGTAAAGTTTCAGAAAAGTATATTTTACTTTTGGAAAATTTTTTAATAAAGGGAATTACATTGCGTTGAAAGACGACTCAAAAGGGCACGAATCAGTTATTTTAGGAAAAAAAAAACACAAACAAATTAGTCAATTTAAATTAGCTTTTGAAATACAGAAATGTATTTTAATTATTGGAATATTAAATTTAATCCTTTAGCTTGAAATTAAAAGTAAAATAAAAGCTTCAAGAGAGATTTTTCCTTAGGCATCACATTTTTGTGGGGGTCCCTAGTTAAAGCATACGCATTTTTAGTGAACGATAATCAAATTACGCAGTCATACAGGCGCGCGCACACGTGAGCCCACAGTGTGTATACAGGAGACAGATAATAACAGTTTTATCATTCGGAGCTGGAACCTGTGCGTTGTTTCGGGGGGGCTTTCCAGAATATTGCTTTTGCTGGGCAGCCTCAACAGAGGCAAGGCGGCATCTGCACCTGATGGACAATTCAAGTAATGCGGCAGATATAGAGAAGCACAAAGAACATTTTTTAAAAAAGGAAAAAAACATAGAAAAGTAAATGAAAAAGTTAATGTTAGTTTGGTACAAGGCCATTCATATTAAGCACCGAACTTAAATGAATTGATTTGCGAAAGTGTTTCATGGTGAACCGCCCAAGTTATATTTTTTTAAAACTAAATTTCACTAAATACAAGATTCGAGAGCCACTGAAGGTAGAGGGTTAGTTGAGATGGTAATGATGAATAATGTGTGGGATATACGGAATTGAAGGTGGGAGGGAGAACAGATTATGAAGATAAGGGGGGGGAGATTAACGATTAATCCTTAACTTAAAGTTCAGGCATGTTCATAGGAACACCCACACAGGAGTCTGTTCCACAAAGTAGCAGTCATTAGGAGAATCTATCTGAGAGGACTTTTTATATTTGGAACACAGAAGAAATAAGGGTGATTCGTTACCGTAGAATTGGTAATGTAATATTAACCGTATTCTTTATAAGGAAACATTTTGCATTCATTAAGCTAGTGGTTGTTACTGTTGTCAGTTGAAATTTATAAAATCTTTCTCTTAAAACAATTTATCCAGGAAATTTTCTCAAGTTCGGTAGCTGTTCATGCTCTTTCTGGGATTGATGGTGGTTTCCTTTTTTGCCTTATGTTTGGGATAGTGTGAAACGTCTTGATTATGTCATTATTCGCTTTGCGAGTTACAACTCATTTTAGTTGTTGCTGCTGTTGAAAGTCCTGAACTTATGTGGTTTCTGTTATCCGCTACAGTTCTTTGTTTGTGATTCTGTAGCACCAGTCCACGAGGTTTGAGAAAGGATGAGGCTACACAATTCACTCTCGAAGCCATTTTTATCCATCGATCTAAGAAAGCAGTTGTATACAGCCAAACGTTTAGATATTCTGAACTAGTTTGACATGTCAAAAAGTAACAAATGCCTTACATGACAGTCTGACTAGAGACCTAAAATCCATATATATATATATATATATATATATATATATATATATATATATAGTATAGAAAAAACAACTAAAAAGTAACAAATGCCTTACATGACAGTCTGACGAGAGACCTAAAATCTCTCTCTCTATATGTATTTTTGTATATTTTTATATTTTTGGTTTTTATATATATATATATATATGTATGTATGTATGTGTGTGTATATATGTGTATATGTGTGTGTATGTGTGTATATGTAAGGGTGTGTATACATGTATGTATGTATATGTATATATATATAATTATATGTGTATATATATATATATATGTATGTATGTATGTGTGTATGGATGTGTATGTGTGCACACACACACATATACATGCATATGTATGTGTATGTGTGTGTGTGCGCGTATGTATATATATGTGTATGTGTATATATATATATATATATATATATATATATATATATATATATATGTATATATGGATATGTGCATGTGAGCATGTGTATGCATGTATATGTATGTGAAAAGTGTGTGTATATGGATATAGATGAATATGTGCATATGTGGATATGTGAATATATTTTTATATGTGTGTACATGGGTATATGTATGTGTGTATGTGGGTACACGCCTATGTGTATGTATATACATATATATGTTATTGTGTGTATTCGCATGTGTTTTTGAACATAGAAATATAGGTCCTTGCTGGATTAGATAATCGTTATATTTATCTTTATATATTTATATTTGATTTGTAACCTGTAGTCGATATAAAATCTGTCAAATTTTCTCAATTACAAAGCGGCCCTTTAAGTAAACGCAATTTTACTTTCCTTCGCCTCATCTCTCTCCCCCACCTCGTCTTTACCTCCCTCTTATTCTAACATTAGATTGTCTATGGTGTGTGTATGTCACCACGAAATGTATCTTTATGCATTAGACATCTGACAACATTCATTTTTCTCTTACTTAAACCCCTTCCACCCACCTCTCCTAAAATTCTCTGTTAAGGTTTAATGTCCCTCATACTTACACTCTCTCCAAATTCTGTTTTTATTTCCGGAGCTGTTTTTTTCTGTTTTCTTTTGAATTTGTAGGTCTGATGAATTGATCGTATTTACGATTCCAATGGAATAAATTATGACCATGGAATATTAGTGTTTAAGCCTTTTTTATATATATATATATATATATATATATATATATATATATATATATATATATAGTATAGTAAAAAAACAACTAAAAAGTAACAAATGTCTTACATGACAGTCTGACTAGAGACCTAAAATGCATATATATATATATATATATATATATATATATATATATATATATATATATATATATATATAGTAAAAAAAACTAAAAAGTTGCAAATTAAAAAAATAATAATGTTTTTTTATGAAAGTATTTATTTATATTTGATATTTCTGATCGACCTCGATCTTTCTTCAGAAATAACTGTTTTTAGAGAAATATCAAATATAAATAAATACTTTCATAAAAACATTATTATTTTTTTAATTTGCAACTTTTTAGTTGTTTTTTCTATATATACATATTAAGAAAGTATACGTGGCTTCTCATTATGCTATATATATGATAGAATATTGTTTTGTGACACTGGGGCCCCAGGGAGTCAATCAAACAAAAAAGAAAGAAAGTAAAAGAAAGAGGAAAGAGGAAAGAGGAAAGAGACTACTAACTGGATGATAATTGTTGGAGTTCGCAGGAAGGTGGACTGAAAAGTTGAGAAGAAAATTAAAAACAAAATGCGTTGAAAAATTATGTTTCAAAATAATAAAATGCAATTCCGAACAGTTCCAAGGAGAATCGAACCCAAATTTAACTAGACGGAAGATTGAGCAAAATCAAGCGTTACGTATTCGTGCCGGTAGAATCGACCGATCACCCCATTTTGTATCCTGATCAAAGGATCCCGCCGGGTAGCGACAACCCGGTCACATATTGGTTACAGTGACTAAGAGTCAACCCCAGAACGCCCCCAATAGGTGTCACACCCTGCTATTTAATGTAATGGATTTACGCTTTTCCTTGGGCATTAGAGTGAAAATGAACGTAACAGACAATGTTCGATCTTGAGCGGCACTCGCCAACTCCACTTTATAGATAATACGTCTTTGTATTGTTTTTTTTTTTAATCCAGAAGCCCAGTTTACTATATAACCCGAAGTTCCACTCGAACAACTTCTTCCCGCGAACCACTGCTCTGTGGAACAGACTCCCAAGAGGATGTTTCCCAGATTATAACAATCTTAAACTGTTCAAGTCTAGAGTTAGCCGTTATCTTCCACTCCTATTCATATAAACTACCCTTTAATGGAAATGTCTACTTCGAGTGGTCCCCGGGTTTGTATAGGGTGAACCAAACCTTACTGCAAAAAAAAAAAAAAAAAAAATATAGAAAAGTGTTGAACTTTAACCAAAGATTATCTGAAACAAATTAAAATATTAACTTTAATAAATTCTCCCAATCGGTTTTGATTCAAATTGGACTAGTATCCTTATCTTGGTTGTTTCGATTACTAAGATTCGAGAAGTGAGTCTTCACAACTTTCGGAAATGTTTGGTAGGCG